AAAGCATGTTTTCTTGGTAGCGACAATTTCTCGGATCTACTCTGCTTGCTAGAGGCAAGTAAGCGCTCTCACTTAGGTACTGCTCCTTGTCATTTTTAGCCCCCACCTTGGCCTCTCTTCCCAGAGCCCTGTTATTAGATTAACCCAAGAACTACTGCAGCCTAAGCATCCATCCTGACTTTCTGACACACACGCCTCCTTCTTGTGAGTAACTCCCAGGCAGATGATTGTGGAGACCCTGGTTGTAGTGATGAGGTGAGCAGGCCTGCTTTTCATCCCGCCTGGCTCCTGCATGTCTAGCTTAGCCCTGGAATAATTACACGGAAACTGTATTCATTTAAATACTGCCTGGCCCATTAGTTCTAGCCTCTTATTGGCTAACTCTCACATCTTTGTAGTGATGAAGCGAGCAGGTCTGCTTTTCATCCCGCCCGGCTCCCACACAGCTAGCTTTATACCCGAAATAACAACACACAAATTGTATTCATTTAAACACTGCCTGGCCCATTAGTTCCAGCCTCTTATTGGCTAATTCTCACATCTTGCTTTAACCCATATTTAGTAATCTGTGTAGCACCATGAGGTGGTGGCTTACCGGGAAAGATCTTAACCTGCGTCCATCTCAGGTCGGAGAATCATGGTGTCTGACTCACTTCCCTTCTTCCCAGCATTCTGTTCTGTCTACTCCACCCACCTATGTTCTGACCTATCAGGCCAAGCAGTTTCTTTATTAATTAACCAATAAAAGTAACACATAGAAAGAAGACCCACCTACATCACATCTTGATTAACCCATTTCTAATAATCTGTGTACCACCATGAAGTGGTGGCTTACTGGGAAGATTCTAACCACTGTCCGCCTTGGGTAGGAGAAGCATGGCGTCTGCCTGACTCTGCTTTCTTTCTCCCATAATTCTGTTCTGTCTCCTCCACCTATCTAAATCTGCCCTATCAAAAAGCCAAGGCAGTTTTTTTTATTAACCAATGAAAGTAACACATAGACAGATGACCCTCCTACATCATTTCCTCTTTTTCTGTTTAAACAAAAAGGAAGGCTTTAAATTTAACATAACAAAATTAAATATAGCAAAACAGTTATCAAGCAAAAATTAGTTACAATATTTATATATATTTTATCTTTTATCATACCTAAGGAAAATATAACTATCTATTCTTCAACTCCATCAAAGACTCCAGAAGGATATAATATTACCTAAGTAAACAAGAAGTAAGCAACTTCCAAAACTCTAGAAATCACAGAGACATCTTGCTGCCTGGACAGTCACTCAAAGTTCTTTTGTAACGTTGGGGCATCCATCTTTGGCCTACAGGCCCATAGTATCCAGCAGACATTTCCATGAAGCAGGAAAATTCAAAGACAGTTCAGTCACTTTTTTCTGTGTCCTGCAGAATGTGTGGCAGACTCTTTCATGTAGCAGGAACCCCGAAAGACCATCTCACTTTTAGGCAAGTTCAGCAGTCCTCTCTCTGCAGGTTTTTTGTGTCCAGTTTATGTAACAGTCCAGGCAAGAGCAGTTTCTTGCTCAAATGGGTAACCAACTCCATAAGGAGCCTATTTGATGCCCATCTTAAGTAGATTGGTGCTGCCAGGAGCAGACGTGTCTCATTGTCCTGAAAAGTCCTAAGTTATTAAAACATTAAATGCCATATTCTGTAGTCTTTGAAAGATATGAAGAATGCCTATTTAGCTGAAATATATCTCTGTATATCAAGAAAATCTAACATGACTACAAGCTTGACTATTACTGATGATTATCCATTAACAACCTATATTTCCTAATTATACATTACATTTTTAAATGAACTACACAATCACAATACCTTAATTAAGATCAGAAATACATATACATATAACAAAATTGACCTAAGTTTATGTCAACAAAGCAAAATTATACCAATGTAAATTATTCATATCTATATCATATCCCCCTTTAAATGTAAAAGAACATTTATAAACAATATTTGGGAACATGGACACAGTTATTTCTCTCCAAACTGCTTCCTGCTGTATGGGGGCGCTGTTAATCAGATCTTTTATGGTGTAACCTGTGTGCTATGTTCATCTCAGTTGGTAGTTGAGTCAAGTAATTTTTTGAGGGTGTTCACAGCAACCTTTCAGGAGGGCGTGGTCTATCATACCATATTGGGATAGAAGCAATCCACAGGGTCTCATCTTCTGTGAAAACAAAAGAAGACCCTTTCCAAAGCATCATGTTCTTAGACCCAAATTTGGAAGTCATGATACCTTTAGAACATATGTGTTGGATCAGCTTGGCAGCTCACACAATGAAATTTCTCTCTGTATTTAGTTCCTTCACCGTCAAAAACTTCAAAGAAAATACAATATACAGAATCTAAACTCTCTGTGAATTTTTCATTTTTACGTGGCTTATTTTTCTTTATTTCTTTTAATCTATAACTATCTGTACTCTGTCTCTTTAAAGACTTTTCCCCTTTTTTTAAGGCATTAACTTTATTCTCTATATTCTTTTTCTTCTCTCTCCCAAGCCTATGTATGTTTAACACTATGACCCATTTAGAGGTCTTTTATGTCTGAATCTGTCCTATTGCATTGCCTGTAACCTTTTTACTGTCCAGGAGCACTTCTTAAAAACTTAAGTTGCACCATGAAGAGATAGTATGGTACGGCCTGTTTCCTTCCCATTCTAAACCTTAACTGCCCAGTTATTATGATAATTACGATAGCTCCTGCCTGAGGTCAGCAAAGTTCAGCATGGTGGAGCTGCTGCTCCTTCCTCAGAGCCATTTGGTGCCCATGAGCCAGTGCACAGTTTCAGGCACACAGCAAGTCCACATTGTCATCAAGTAAGCAAGCAAGCATTTTACTCACAAAACCCCATTCAAATGATCTGTCTCCTGCAGGAGCCAGAGGTCGCGCTGTCAGCACAGCCCAGAAAGCTGACATTTTAAAACTGCATGACTTTTTTTTTGCCTCCAGGTAGGAGCCATATTCAGCACTTTAACTCTGAGAATGAGCTTTTTATCTGAGTTACATCCAAATCTGCCAGGCAGAGCACTGCACAGCCTGGAAACATCTCTGTGTATGGTGGCAGAAATCTGCCATGCTCTCCCGACTGCCTAAGACTGATCCCACTGTCTTTCCAGGTGGGGAGTGCAGGCATGGTCTCAGAGTACTTTGTTCCCATTCCCAAGCAGGAACACAAACATCCAGTCTTTTTTTTTTCCATTTGAATGCTGCCTGGCTCACTAGTTCTAGCCTCTTATTGGCTTACTCTTACATATTGATTAACACATTTCTAATAATCTGTACCACCACGAAGTGGTGGCTTACCAGGAAGATTCTAACCTACGTCTGTCTTGGGTAGGAGAAGCATGGCGTCTGCCTGACTCTGCTTTCTTTCTCCCACAATTCTGTTCTGTCTACTCAACCCACCTAAGGGCTGGCCTATCAAAAAGCCAAGGCAGTTTCTTTATTGACCAATGAAAGTAACACATAGATGACCATCCTGCATCACCTGGTTCTGTTGTTTTCCATGTGGCTAGGTCACTACCCCTACTCTGCCTTTTCTCCTTCCTCTTGTACTATCTCCTATCAAATGGGAGCAAATCATGCTGTTTCTGACTGTGAAATTTTGTCACCCTTGGCTTTCTCATCTTCCTCTGACACCATGCTTCTTACCTGTCTCCACACCTGCTTGATCTCCCCAAATTCCAGTTCTGCCCTGTTCTCTGAACACATCTTTCTGGACCAATGTAGTATATTTTGTTTTTTATTTTTTTCCCCATTTTTAAAGAAAGGTCTCACTCTGTAAACCTAGCTGAACAAAAATGCATGGTGATCCTTCTGCCTCAGCTTTCCAAGTGCAGGGATTACAGGTATGCACCCCATGCTTTTCTGATTTTCTTCTAGCAAGTGTTCTGAATTCTTCTTAGGGACCAGCAATGGCCTGATACTATTTTGTCTAAAGCCCTTAGAATCTGACTGCTGTTGCCACAGGACTTTTGCTAACCTGCAGTCTATATTGCATTGCATCTATGTCTTGAAAGACCTTCTTGGCCTACAGCCTGAGACTTTCATTTTCTTGAAGAAATTCCAATTGTATGTCATCTGGCCCTAACTTACTGTTTTTGTCTGCCTCTTATGTCATCATATAGCTCCAAATGAACCCTGTTCTTCCATGACTCCACTCTGTTGTATGCTGTTGCTTTAGAAGCCTTCTGTGACCCTGATTTATCTACACCAAGTAACTTGAAGGGTCATTCACCTGTCTCAACCCTGGCCCTTCCCATAATGTGTATGTTTACTTATCTATAGTTGTATCCTTATTAGCTAGTGGCTTAATAGGTCTGAGCATTATACTTGCTTCTTTATTGCCTTCTTTCTGTGACCAGCATAGGCAGGAGGTGTCTGCCTAAAGTTCTCCAGGCTCCAGACTGAAAAGTTAATTTACTAAACAGTAAATGTAGGTAGAGGTTCAGCATGATCCTTCTATAAGCATAGCAAGCAGATGAAGGGACAAGTCTCATGACTGCCATTACCCTAGCAATGACAAGTAGGATATCTTACAGGTCCATCTCATGAGTTAGAGGCCCTCAGGATAGTAGAAAATGGGACTGATTTGGTAAATGGTTCTTTTGTTTCTTACTGCTTGGGGCGTAGTTGGGAGGAAGAATAGTATTTGCCTTAAGGCCCATGAACAGTATTCAGGAGTCAGTCCAGGAAAGGTTTATGGCTCCTTTACTTGTGGGTGTAGGCTGGCTAGCAGTTCCAGCAGTTCCTCTTGGGTTTCCCCTTATTATTCTTCTGCTCATTGAGAGTTTGTTAGAAACGAGCTACACTTAAAACCTTGGTCCATGAAGTTAATCAGTTGCCATTTCTTGCTTGGTAAGAGTGTGGGCAGAGGAGAGGCCTACTCCGGGTCATTATTAGAAGTTAATTTGTGTCACCCCCAGAAAGCTATATTGAACTCTTTAACTCTTTATACCTTAGAATGTAGTCTGCTTTAAGTTAAGATGTACTCATACTGATCAGGTAAGCCTCTAACCCAATGTGACTTTTGTCCTGATAAGGAGAACAGGTAGGGAGGACAGAGACAGAAACATATGCAGGAAGAGCTCCATGTGATTATGGAAACAGATTTTAATGACTGTTGCAAGCCAAGAAACACAGGTGGTTCTCAACTTGTGGGTCTTAACCTCTTTCGGGGCCGAATGACTCTTCCACAGGGGTGACCTAAAACCATCAGAAAACATAGATACTTACATTACAATTTATAATGGCACAAAATTGTAGTTATGAAGTAGCAATGAAATAATTTTATGGTTGAGGAGTCACCACAACATGAGGAACTGTATGTATTAAAGGGTTGCAGTGTTAGGGAGGTTGAGAACCACTGCTCTAGAACATTCAGAAATGGCCCTCCCCAAACCTTGATTTTGGACTGTTGGGTGTCCATGGCCGGGAGGCAATCGATTTCTAGTGTTTCAAGTCACCTGGTGGCTTGAATGGAGAAGAGTGGTGTCTTTGGCATCCTCCTCATTAGAGAATGGGTAATTCTGGAAATGCAAGGATTAAGGGATCATTTTCTGTTTCAGTGGTCATTTCTAGAGACTCCAGAATATGCAGACCAGAGACAGGAACAGTTAATGCCATCCATTTGTCTTGACATGTATCCTAAAGTGGAAGCTGATTTGTTTTCAGACATGTCAGTTTGGTCCTGCGGATTGTTAGTCTGTCCTCTGAAGCAAATGGCTGCAGAAGGGAGGAAAAGGAATGTTAGGTTTAGGCTAACAATATCATCAGTCAATGGAGAGGTTGGGATTGGGAGAGATGTTCAGGCATACTCTTTGTATGCCAAGGCATTTAAAGTTGCTTTTACTCTTGTAATATTCTTTTCATTTGCAGCGGAAAATCCGTCAGAGCTACTTTGCTTCTGTGTCCTATTTGGATACTCAGGTTGGGCATCTTTTGAGTGCTTTGGATGATCTTCATCTGACCAGCAACACAATTATTGCTTTCACTTCTGATCATGGTAAGCATTTTGCAGTGCACTGGTGAATTGAACATCTCAATTTCCTGTAACACCTGATTTTGTGTTACACCCTCGGTACAGTTCGCGTGCCCCTGTACCTAATGCGAGTCTAGCGAGGGCCTGGAGATTGAAAAGAACACACAGAGAGACCAGGGTCATTCAAAAGGAGACCAGCTGAATGCCAGTTTATTCAGACTTGGGGAAATCTTTATGTATCTAACTGCTGCACAAGGATCTCAGCCCAGGCAGGTGGGAAATTACCATATTAACAATGGAGTAAATGCCCTGCAGGTGGGGCAGGGAGAGCATAGAAACACACAGGAAGCTTAGTTAGCTGATCATAAACTGTCCCCGCAAATGCACCCCAGGAATAAGGGAGACCAGGGCCCTACAATTTCCTATGAAGCACATGTTGGGCAATTTCTACATACACAGGGGTATACTGTTGTGTAAAACAGCAGTGCTCTTAGTTCAGGATCATGGGGAGCTTTTAAGAGCAATTTACTTGTTCTTGGCCCTCCATTTTGGATATATGAGATGAAGGCAACCAGCTAGAAGAGGAGCAGAGGGTACAGGAGATGACAGAAGAGGGTTTCAGAGCCTCTGCTGCTGGAGTCATAGACAGTTGTGAACTGCCTTACATGGGTGCTAGGAATTAAACTTGGGTCCTCTGGAAGAGCAGGAAATGCTCTTCCTGTGAACTGCTGAACAACCCCTCCAGTCCTCATGCACATTTTAAAAAAGTTAATATATATAGTTATGGGCTTCATTACAGCATCATCAAATATATGTCATTATTCTCTATTAAAGTTATTCTTCCCCTCTGCTGCCCTCTCCTGTACCCTCTGCTCCTCTTCTAGCTGGTTGCCTTCATCCACTAATGTGGTTCCTTCTGCTTTTGTGTCACATGCATTCCAATGATACATCCAACTGTCCTTCCTTCTCCCTTCCTTAATATCTCTTTCTTGGAGGAAATTGTTTTAGTTCCCATTTCTAATCTAGAGATCTGGAGGACGTTTATGTGGAGGTTCTCTGCTTCTTGTCTAAAGAAAATCCTTGGGATATGTGCTTTCTTTCTTACATATTTTTATCTTTTATTTTTTCCTTTTCCTTTATTGAAAACAGATTTTTTTCCTCACACAGTACGTCCTGATTAGAGTTTCCCTTCCTTCTGTTCCTCTCAGTTCCTCCCCACTCCCTTCCTATCTGATTCCAAGGGATATTAAAATAAAATATAAGATAAATTAAAAGCTAACACATTGGAGTTGGACAAGAAAAACAGTGGGAAAAGAGCCTAAGAGAATACACAAGAATCAGATCCACTTGTTTGCTGATGGAGGAGGGTCAGGAATCCCATAAAAACATTAAACTGGAAGCCATTATATATACTCCGAGGACCTGGTACAGACCTGTTTAAGCCCTGTGCATGCTGCCTCAAGTCTCTGAGTTCATATGAGCTTTTATCATGTTGATTCAGACGGCCTTGTTCTGGTGTCCTCCATCCCCTCTGGCTCTTACACTCTTTCTGCCTCCTTTTCCACAGGGTTCCCCGAATCCTGAAGGGAGGGAACTGATGGAGACATCCCGTTTAGGGCTGATGAGTATTTCAGGGTCTCTTACTCTGCATAATGTCTGTTGATCTCTGTATCTGTTCACATATTTGTTCCTGGTTATAGCAGCCTAGAAAGGAGCTTAGCAAAAGAATATTTATTTATTTAGTTATGAACTAATAACAACAACTCTGTGCTGAATGTTGTGGATTAGGCTAAGTGCTGCGCCCTCTAGAGTTGCTGAAGGCCTGTGTACTCCATATTTTGAATGCCAAATGAGAGCTCAGTTTATTTCCCTGCTAGTTCTGTGCATGCACATCAGTCAAACTTCCCAGAGCTGACTCCTGATGTTCCACTGCTGGACTTCTCACTTTTGTGTCCCCTAAGCCTCTTAACCTGCAATCTTTTAGCTTCATGCTACACAGGAACAACTGTGCTAGTGCCCTACAAACGCACTGGGTCGTGGCTGCTTTGTCTTGGAGAGAGCAGGGCTTCCCCTCACCCAGTCCACAGAGGTGATAATCTGGAAAACTTATTGAGCTCCTTCAGACTTTTTGAACACTCCTGTCTTACGTCTCCAGTGTTACAGACAGAAGGATGGACAGATTGCCAGAGCCCTTGCACATCCTCAATAACGTGATGTCCTTCTGAGTAGAAGACTGCTAAGGAGATCAGTCTGAGTTTCTAAGACCATAATCTCCCCTCTCTCCCCCTCTCTCTCAAGAGTTATTTTATCATCATTATTTGATTTTTAAATGCATATGGGTGTCAAAACTGCATGTATGTCTGCACATCACATACGTGCAGTGCCTCAGATGGCCAGAAGAGAGTCAAATCCCCAGAGACTGGGTTAGACAGTTGCTTGTGAGCCTCTATGTGGGTACTGCAAAGACTCAAAGCCAGATCCTCTGGAAGAGCAGCCAGTGCTCTGAACTGCTGAGCCATCTCTGCAGCCCCAGTTTATCTTACCTTTATTTATGTGTGTATGTCTATATAAGTATCTGCTATGTGAGTGTGGGTATCCTTGGAGACCAGCTGGACGTGATTCACCAGACATAGGTCCTGGGAACTGAACTCCAGCTCTCTGCAAGAGCAGTAAGCACTCTTTCCTCTTGACCATAATCTCTTAATAGTTCTGACACTTGTTTGTAGCTCCAGCATTGTTTGAAGAATGAATAAGGGAATTTGAAGGCTAGTCTCTGCAACCTCCCTTGGCAAAAGTCACCAAATTTGACTGTGATAAAGTACAGGTGTATGCCTGCACTTTCCTCAGTTCACTCAAGCTTTTAGTGTCTGTGGTTGTTTTTATAACATGAGATTCTTCACATACAATCATTGTCACTCACTTTTGTCTTTAAAGCTTGCTTATATATAAGTAGGTTGAGACATTATCTTTTAGAGTGGACACTTTAAATGAATGCTGAAGATTTCTTTTTCTTACTCAGGACTGAAAATTTGGATTATTTTTTCTTTTTTTTTCCATTTCTTTCACATATGAATGTACATGATATGTCTTTAAAAAATTCAAGGTATTCTTATCTTGTGCATAGTTCTGTTGCTCTTCAGTCATTCAACCTCAGTATTAAGAACTTGAAGCCCATGTCATAGCCAAGAGTTAGGACACAGGGCAAGGTAGTGGAGTGATTAACTTTTAGGACCCTATCATCCAGGAAGAACTGCTCAGTACAGCTGAGTGGTAGAATATGTGCCCAATAGATACTAAAGTGTGGACAGGTACTTGGCTTGTCAGGAGAGGTGCATTTATTTGGAGCCTTTTGAACAGATAAAATTCAATGTGTGTGTGAATTTCTAGTTACTTTTAAAAAAAGATACTATAGTTTGAGAATTTAAGGTTGTCCCATTTGAAGGTTTCTTCTTTGTGGATAGATATCTGCCTTCTAATAAAGCAGCATTTATGTGAACTAACTTTTATAATTCTAGAGGAATTTCCTTCAGATATCAGCTTTAGTGTTCTCTGCTTTTTACATTGAGAAATGAAATGTTATCTAAAGTAAACAAACCATAATATTGTCACTAATTCTCTTTCATTGTGTGCTTTTTATGGCCCAGGGTGGGCCCTAGGTGAACACGGAGAATGGGCTAAATACAGCAATTTTGACATCACTACACGTGTGCCACTGATGTTCTATGTTCCTGGAAAGACAACCCCACTTCCTGGAGCAGGCAAGAAGCTTTTTCCTTACCAGGACCCCTTTGATTCCACCTCAGAGTCGATGGATCCAGGTATAATATATATAGAAATGACAGTGCCTTGCAGTGAGAGCACCTTTGGTTTAGATGGGAATTACTTCATCAGACACTAGCTGTCCCACTTTGTGGTGTGTTGGAATTCATTCTCAATATTGTTTAGTGTTCATATATTTTTTTTAAGCATCTCCCATGTACTAGGTTGAGAATGCATGGCAGAGCTAGAGTTGACAAGAATGGTCACTGTATATCGGGGCCCTTAGAAATTACAGAGGGTAAGGAGCAAGTGATATTCCCAAGGTGGGGAGGGCTGTTTGGAGGTGATAGCAACATGTCAGACCTTAGAGGAAGTGTTTGTAGCCTGCTGAGACAAAGTCTCTCCAACATATGAGTGGAATGTTTGGTGCGCATGCTTTTTTGGGGGACCCAGTGCTTACTGAGAGGTGTTTTCCATTTTGGAGCTCATTGATCTACTAAAACACACCAGGTTAATATGCTCTGTACTCCCAGCAGCAAAGGGCATTTTCTTTCATTTCTACATACTATGCCTTCACAGCCTTGAAAAACAGGCACTCTTCCTACCTGTGTGAAATGGCAGATGTAGGTTCTTGAGTGTTATATCCTGACTTTCCTGTCTGGTACACTTTCAGGTGCCAGTTACATACTTCCAGTGACATTTCTCTTTTCAGAGTGCTTTTCTGTGAGCTACACTAAGTCAGGTGTTCCCTTTTCTAGACTGACTGGCCCCGGGCTCCATCTTTAATACCTATGTCTTGCACTTTATGTTCATTGCTATGTAAATTGATCATGGTTTTAGATCATCATTCTGGCCTTTCTAGATTTCTGAGTTTGCTTATATCATCCAATTTTCTTTTTGCATTTTTAATTTTGTATGATTCATGCTCTATGTTTCTTTCCCAACACCAAGAGAAAAGTTATAGAGTTTCATGGCATGAGCTTGATTCTTTATTGCTGGGACAAATCTGATAGGACTTTTTTTGAAACTTGTTGGCCCCCAAACAAAAAAAAAAGCCTGCAGCCACGACCCCCCCCCAAAAAAAAACCAACAACCTGCAAACCAACCAACAAAAAAATCCTGTAGAGAGATTTGTAATCATGGCTACTGAGAGGCTGAGGTATAAGAGATCACATGCTTAAAACCTGCCTGAGATACAGATTGAGTTCAAGGCCAATCTCTGTAACTAACTGAAAACTCAACTCAAAAATCAAAATTCAGGCCCAGGATCTAGCTCAATGGTAGAACATTTGCCTAGCATGCATAGGGACCTGGTTTGAATCCCAGGTAATGAAAAAAGAAAATTCTGAGTCTTTTCAACCCATCTTTTTTCTTTATTCCATGTGTGCTATGCAGTCCATCAGCAAGCATTCTCCTTTCCATTCAGAATCTTTCTCTGCCCCATTCTCATTAATTCCACTGCCACCAGCCTTCTGGTGTAGCAAGTTTCTGAAGTCTCCTTGCTTGTGCCCTAGACTGTTTCCTTCTCAAGTAACAATTTTGAAACTCAAAGCAGAGGTAGGGATATAGCTCAGTGGTGGAGTTCCTATCTGAATGGACTGAGCCTCAACTTTTATCCCTACCACTGTAAAGGTGAAAGTTAAAACCAAAAACGGAACCGCCAAAATCCAGCCCTCCTGTGTGCCCATCTCACTGAGGAAATTTCTTTACAATGGCTATCAAGGCCTTTCATGACCGGTTTGCTTCCTCATCTCTTCTTCCTCTTGACAAGTATCCAGACCATTCTTTCTGTGCAACGTCCCACAGTCCTAGTTCCTCTTGGCTAGATTGTTTTCTCCAATGATGTATACATTAGGTCATGTTGCCTTCTGCTTTCATAGTGGTGTTTTTTTTTTCTAGGGAGATGCAGCACATATGTGCATACACATCTCCTCACCTCTGGAAAGGGAACCCACAACAGACCAAAGTAACAATTACACCAAAGCCTAACTTGGTGAATTAGTGAGTTTTATTGGGGTTACTAATAGGAAGATGGGTGAGAGGATCCTCACAGGAGCACTGATGACTCAGAAGCAGCTGCATTGCTGAATAGCCCACATGAACATGGTTGATGACTCATAAAAGCTATGGCCCTAGAGTTCTCGACATAAGTTGCAAGGGAGCTTGGCAATTCTAAGAGATGGCCTGTAGGCTTGTGGTGAGTCTCCTCCAGTAGTTGTTTTCTGCTCTCAGTCTATGGTGGATATACATAATGTGATATATGTATTCAGTAGAATATTATTCATCCTTTAAGAGAAAGGAAATGCCAGTGTATCCTATAGAATAGATGAACCTGGAGGACTCATGTTAAGTGAATTAAACCAGGCACAAAGGATCAAATGTGGTCTGAGACCATTCCCATGAGATATCTCTTGTAGTCTAGTAGTCAAATTCATAGTTCTAGAAAGTAGAATGAGTGTCCTCAGTTGATAGTAAAGAGTTAAGTGCTGAGGTGGTGGGGACAGATATAAAATGAATTGCAGAAGTGATAATGATGATGACACAATGTGAATACATGTATTGTGACTAAAAAATGGTTGGGTTGTAACTCTCAAGTTTTGTGTATTTTACCATAATAAAAACAAAATATGAATCAAAAACAAATATTTAGAAATGAATAATCTTCAATAGACTTTTACACCATGGGTAGAGGTGTAATTGGTTGAACTTGTCTGGATCAATTATTTGGCTCCAAAATTTAAGTAGTTTAAAAATGCTTCCAGCAGGCAGGAAACACCTTCACTGTTACTGTTAGTGAAGGGAAACGTCCTGTAGAGGCAGCATTTCTAAGCTTCTTTTTCTAAAAATTGGATGTTGTATATGAAAATGAAATGGGTACCAGGTGGTTGGCTCTGCGGTGTACCAGACAAGCTGTGCTGCTTCCTGTTTCAGGTGGGCACGTCACGGACCTTGTGGAACTTGTATCTCTCTTCCCCACACTTGCTGGACTTGCCGGACTACAAGTTCCTCCTTGGTGCCCCATCCCTTCTTTTCATGTTGAGCTCTGCAGAGAAGGCCAGAATCTCCAGAGGCATTTACAGCTCCATGACTTGGAAGAGGATCCACACTTTCTTGGTAATCCCCGGGAGTCAATTGCCTATAGTCTGTACCCCCGGCCTGCAGATTCCCCTCAGTGGAATTCTGACAAGCCAAGCTTAAAAGATATAAAGATCATGGGCTACTCTATACGTACAATAGACTATAGGTATACAGTGTGGGTTGGCTTTAATCCTGCTGAATTTTTGGCTAATTTTTCTGACATCCATGCAGGGGAACTCTATTTTGTGGATTCTGACCCACTGCAGGATCACAATATATATAATGACTCCCAACATGGAGATCTTCCCCACTCATTGAAGCCTTGAGTTCTGCCAGCCTTGGAGGACTGCATATGTGTCCTCTTGCCCCCTTCTGTCTCATGAAAGGTGGCATTAGAGGTGGCTATCTTTTACTACCTATTGTATTAGATATAACCTTAGTGGGTAGCAATCAAAACAGCATCATCAGTTTGGCTTAGGACTATGTGGCAGACAAATCTTTTCATTTAGTTCTTCTTAAGTTATAAATGATCATTGGATTTAGGCTAGGCTGAAGCGCTTCCATTTTAAAAGCACTCATCACTTAAGTAAGTACAAAAGTGAACTTAACAAAATGTAATCATACCTTTGTATATGTAATCCATGATAGCCAAGAAGAGTACTGTACTAAAGAAATAATTTACTGTTGAATTTAGTGCATTTCAGAAAGTGACCATATTATCTTAGGTAGCCCAGTGTAGTCAAAACATGTTAACATGGGATTTAGTTCTTTCTCAAATATGAAATTAAGTACTATTTCTAGAAGCAACTTCTATATGATCTATGATCAACTTTTGTTTATAAGACTACAGATTTCAAAATGAAAGATAAAATACACATGGGATTATTTTTTTTTTTATAATTTTTTTTTATTAAGAAAAGAAGAAAAAAAACATAAACAAAAAACAAGTTTCCACCTCCTCCCAGCCTCCCATTTCCCTCCCCCTCCTCCCACCCTTCTCCCCCTCCTCCCACCCTTCTACCCCTCCCCCCACTCCTCTCCCCCTCCCTCTCCAGTCCACAGAGCAGTCCAGATTCCCTGCCCTGTGGTAAGTCCTAGGTCCTCCCCCCTCCGTCCATATCTAGGAAGGTGAACATCCAAACTGGCTAGGCTTCCACAAAGCCAGCACATTAAGTAGGATCAAAACCCCGTGCCATTGTCCTTGGCCTCTCATCAGCCCTCATTGTTCGCCATGTTCAGAGAGTCCGGTTTTATCCCATGCTTTTTCGGTCACAGTCCAGCTGGCCTTGGTGAGCTCCCAGTAGATCAGCTCCACTGTCTCAGTGGGTGGGTGCACGCCTCGTGGTCCCGACTTCTTTGCTCATGTTCTCCCTCCTTCTGCTCCTCATTGGGACCTTGGGAGCTCAGTCCAGTGCTCCAGTGTGGGTCTCTGTCTCTGTCTCCATCCATCACCAGATGAAGGTTCTATGATGATATGCAAGATAATCGTCAGTATTGTTCTCGGATAGGGTCATTTCAGGTTCCCAATCCTCAGCTACCCAAGGAACTTACTGGGAACCTCATGTTGGGCACTTGGGAGCCCCTCTAGGGTCAAATCTCTTGCTCACCCTAAAGTGGTTCCCTTAACTAAGAATTGTGGTTCCGTGCTCCCCTATCCACCTTTCCTTTATCCCAATTCTCCTGATTCCCCAAGTCCCCCCTCCTTCCCTTCTACCTTTTCTCTCCCCATCTCCCCTTACCCCCATCCCACCCCACCCCCAAGATCCTAATTTTCTCCCCGGCAATTGGGTCTACTTCCCTTAGCCAAGAGGATAACTATATGTTTTTCCTTGGGTTCACCTTCTTACTTAGCTTCTTTAGGTTCACCTATTGTAGACTCCGTGGCCCTAATTTATGGCTAGAAACCAATTATGAGCGAGTACATCCCATGTTCATCTTTTTGGGTCTGGGACACCTCACTCAGGATAGTGTTTTCTATTTCCATCCATTTGCCTGCAAAGTTCAAGAAGTCATTGTTTTTTACCGCAGCGTAGTACTCTAGCGTGTATATATTCCATACTTTCTTCATCCATTCTTCCATTGAAGGGCATCTAGGTTGTTTCCAGGTTCTGGCTATTACAAATAATACTGCTATGAACATAGTTGAACAAATGCTTTTGTCATATGATAGAGCATCTCTTGGGTATATTCCCAGGAGTGGTATTGCTGGGTCCAGGGGTAAGTTGATCCCGAATTTCCTGAGAAACCGAAACACTGACTTCCACAGTGGTTGCACAAGATGGCATTCCCACCAGCAATGGATGAGGGTACCCGTTCCTCCACAGCCTCTCCAACAAAGGTTATCCTTGGTGTTTTTGACTTTAGCCATTCTGACAGGTGTAAGATGATATCTCAAAGTTGTTTTGATTTGCATTTCCCTGATTGCTAAGGAAGTTGAGCACGACTTTAAGTGTCTTTTGGCCATTTGAACTTCCTCTGCTGAGAATTCTCTGTTCAGTTCAGTGCCCCATTTTTTAATTGGGTTAATTAGCATTTTAAAGTCTAGTTTCTTGAGTTCTTTATATATTTTGGAGATCAGACCTTTGTCTGTTGTGGGGTTGGTGAAGATCTTCTCCCAATCAGTAGGTTGCCTTCGTGTCTTATTGACTATGTCCTGACTTCAAACTCTATTACAGAGCTACAGTAATGAAAACAGTGTGGTACTGGCATAAAAACAGAGAAGTCGACCAATGGAATCGTATAGAAGACCCGGATTTTATCCCACAAACCTATGAACACCTGATTTTCGATAAAGGAGCTAAAAGTATAAAATGGAAGAAAGAAAGCATCTTCAACAAATGGTGCTGGCACAACTGGATGTCATCTTGTAGAAGAATGAAAATAGACCCTTATCTATCACCGTGAACAAAACTCAAGTCCAAATGGATTAAAGACCTCAATATCAGCCCGAACACACTGAACCTGATAGAAGAGAAAGTGGGAAGTACCCTACAGGAGCTGGGCACAGGAGATCGCTTCCTATGTATAATCCCAGAAGCACAGACATTAAGGGCAACATTGAATAAATGGGACCTACTTAAACTGAGAAGCTTCTGTAAAACACATGGGATTATTAATGCAGCGTTTCTTCATTAAATAATAAGTAGTGCTTAGTAAAGTATGAATAAAGGTACAAAATTCAGTTAACTATTTCAGTACTTGCTGACCCAAATAATAATTTGCTAGTAAATAGTATAACTCTTGAACTTGGTATCTGTTAAAAAGTCTGTTATTCACAATGAAAAGCATTTAAAATGTAACTATACCCATGATTTGAATCATTCAAAATCATATTCCTATTCCAAGTTAGAGAATTGCAAATACCCACTTATCCTGGAGGCGGGAGCTATTCTACTTCTACTTTTTGGTAAAGAAAACATAAACTTATGAAGTGTACATTATCTTATGGCTTGTGGAAACTTTAGGGTATAAGTAATTTTCAGAATGTACTTCTGCATTCCCTGAATATTCCCTAAATATGGAAGTAATAAGAAGGTATGTAATAGTGATAAGGTTATTTCATTACCTACCCTTGTTTAAAAAAAAGTCAATTCTGTAATGTGCTGAAAACTGTTCAGTTATCATTAATCAACAGCTTTCCAACATACAGTGCTTTTAGTCTTGTATTAAATGAGTAATTTCAATAATTTTCTCCTTAAAAATGCCTCAGTCTTTCAAAGTAAATGTTTTAAAAACAAAATATAGCAAATAGTTAAGTAGATTTAATTATTCTTGTATATTAAATTGTAACCCAAAAGCCAAGTTATTATTTTTAAGTCTGTAAAATCTCAAAGACAGATTGTTTTTATGAGTTGACCTACAGTAGAGGGGTAGCTGATAGCACAGTTATTTTCCTGAGCAATCAAGTGACTGTCTTGGCAACAGCAATTTGTATTTGGGGATTGATGGTCCCATTTGTTTCTCCTGATCCCTACATTTGCCTCTCATCTAGAAACTGGCTTTTGTAGATGGTTTATTTCAGTTTCTTCTTGTTCTTCATCTTTATTGCTCTCATTGTATTTACTCAGTGCCATTTTTACAATTTAGAAGTTCTTCACAGCATGTTTTTATCTTGCTTAGCTTCATCTCTTACTCCACAGTTATAGGGATAGATTTTGATAAAAGGTTTTTTTTTTTTATTTTACATTCATTTATTGTTTCTGTTTGATCATAGTATATACATTTCAGTTTTCTTATTTTATCTCCTGAATCACAGTTTTAGTGTCAGCCCCCTCCAAATTCTGCCTCTGATGAAATCATAAGCCCAGTGGTGCTATCCACATAGTAGTTACAAGACATTTGTGATTATTCAAATTTAAATTCATCGACATGAAATAACATTTTAAATGATTTCCGGTACATCATAATTCAAGTGCTCAGTAGCTAGACATAGAGTTTTTCCATCATAGCAGACTATTCTACTGGGCAGAACTATCCTGGATTCCAACTGATTAGCAGGTTCCTACTGTCATGCATTTGCCCACAATGAGCAAACTATGTTTTGTTTAGGCATAGAGTAGGGAGTTTGCTGTGGCCATCAGCCTCTTCCTTTCATTCTCATCACCATTGCCTCTCTCCTTTTTACTCTCCTTCCCAAATTGTTTACCTCCCCCCTTTTCCCTCCCCTGTTCCTTAAGGAATCCATGTGTCTTCCTAAAAAATTCCTCTCGACCCTGCCCTTTGAGAACACCGTCAGTGCCTACTAAGGGTCTAGAAAGACCTCCGCTGAGCAGTCAGAGTCTTCCCTGGCTCCACAATGCCCCTTTCCTTGGCTAACATTTCCTTGCCAATCCCTGCCTCCCTGGCCCTTCTAGCTTGTGCCCTCACTTCTTTGCTCCAACCACTTCATGGTCATTATTCATAGCCTGGCTCCCCTACCCCACTGCTTAGAGGCTGAGGCTTCTGGGACTCTTTAGATTATATTTTGGGGAAACTGAATGCTTTTAAAAAAAATCTTCTATTTCACTTTTTAAAAGGCGCTTTTTATCATCATGAATTTTATGTGTTAATTATAGAAAATTTGGAAATCAGAAATGTAATAAAACACAAGAAAATGTCTGAGTGCTTTATCCTGAGATTGTCATGTAATATCTTGTTCTTTTGGGTGTATAAATGTTTGCCATTTCTTGATCCTCTATGTTCTTTATAATGCAATTTCTGTTCTTACGTTTTCTCTAAATATTATGTATGGTTTTTTAGTGACTTTCTCAGATATTTTATATTGCTGGTAATATGTTTTATTGTATAGTTTTATTGTAATTTTCTTAACCTTCTTTCAGTTATTGGAAATTTAGATTATTTACAAATTTTTAGCATTACACATAATACTATGATCAACTTTGTGAATAAAATGTTGGGTTTCAAAGTATTACCATTGGATGGTCTCTCACTGCCGAGTCATCGAAAGCAGCTCTATTTTGTCCTTTATTGCTGATATAGCATACTAAAGTTAGAAAACAAAGTCAACAAGCCTATACATAAAACCATAGCATCGAGAAAGCAAGCCTGTGGTCCAAAATAATAGGTGAAAGTTGTATCCTGCTTTGACTTCTGATTCTTTGCATATTAGTGACATGAGCCATTACTCTCTCTGTGTGACAGTTGAGCTTTGCATTTCTAGTTGTCTGACTTTGTGTGGTCATATTATGGGTGTTACCTTTTAATATAATAAAATAAATTGCTCTTTTCTGGTGTGATAATTTTTCCTTCATTTTTGTATTAACCATACAAACAATTCCATTTGAGAACTGAATAAATACTTGTTTTCCTTTGGGTTTTTTTTTTTGGGGGGGGGGTTCTTGGTGTCATTGTCTTTCCACCTACTTATAAGAGTAATG